TGAAAAACAAATATTACCAGCGAAGAAAAATTCTTACCAGAAATAGATTTTTGAAGGAAAAAATATTACCAACAATGAAAATTTTGTCATCATTAAATAACACATTGAGGTTGATATGCCGTAAAACAAAACAAATCAAACCAAATTAAACCATCGCTACACAGGAATTACGATGTTTCAAGACAGAAAATAAAATCTTAAATTTAATTATAAAATTAAATTTTAAAATCCATAGTTCCATTCCATTCTCAAGCAATTTTTGGAATAACCTATGAAGAAATTTATGGCTATGGATTTTAAAAATTTAATTTTATAATTAAATTTAAAATTTTAGTTTCTGTTTTGAAACATGGTAATTCCTGGCTATCGATGGAACCATATTTTTAAAATAGAAAATAATTCTAATATTATGCTCTCCTGTTTTGTATCGAGCACTGTTTTTAATAAATAATTACCAAGAACACCAGGTTGTTAATCTTACTGTTCTTTCGGATTATTTTTTTATATATATATATATATATATATATATATATATATATATATATATATAAAAAACTTATCAACCCATTGCAGGTTATTTAAAGTCAGAAAATATTTTAAAATTTTAATAATCCTACTAATTAAACCATGGTGGAGGGAGAACAGGTGGATTCATACGTTTTCCAAGGTTATTTACGCATAATAAACGAACCTGACTAGAAATGGAACTCGACATTCCATTTTCCAATTTGAGGCATTATCCATTACACCAACCGCACATCAAAATTATTCCCAAATGGTCACTCATCTAGGTAATGACCAGGTTTGACGTTGCTTAACTAAGCTGAACCTACGATAACCGCTGTTTCAGAGTTTCAACATGATATGGTTGCACATATATATATATATATATATATATATATATATATATATATATATATATATATATATATATATATATATATATATATATATATATATATATATATATATGTGTGTGTGCGCTACGGATGTTAATGCTTGTTGGGGCGTAGAGCGTCACCTTGCCTCTATATGGGGTCTATAAAAAAAGAATAAAGTGAAAAGGATAGGATGAGGATGTGTCATGATTAATGTCGTTTCTCTGTAAAATTTATATGTTCAGTCTTGTTCGTCTCTTTTGGACATAGTCTCTGGTCAAGCGTGACTGTCTTGTTTCTCAGTGTGTCGAAAGGGTCACTCGCAGGACTTGTCCTCCCCGTGGGAAGCTACAACTTGTATTTGTTCCAGTTTTTCTTTTTACTAATTTTTGTTTTATTATTATTATTATTATTACTTCAAGATTCCGTATATATATATATATATATATATATATATGCTTCTTATCTTATCTGACGACACTTATTTTTTTTTCTCTTCGCACCCGACCTCGCCGCTTCGTGAAACATCACCTTCACTTTGCTTCTCGGTTTAAACGCAAATCTAAAAAAAAAACAAACCAAAAAACCAAAAAAAAAAAAAAACGGTTATGGATGGGAGGAGGAGAATTGTGGGTAAGATAAAATCAAAACCAAGAAGTAAAAGAAAAGCCCTAGTCAGTGACAAGGGACACACACAGACAGACATTAATTGGTAATGCATGGCGGATTAACTGATTCGATCCGTCGCAGTCCTAACGATATACCAACACAATTGCAATTCGCATCGCTCGATTAATGCTTTTCAGTAGTGTTGATACTTTATTTCTACTGTCACTCCCCACCGATGGCCTCACGCCGTGCCACAAATTTTCACCTGTGCGAAAGATTGCGGCTTCTTAGACGCACTTGAGTGTCGATAAATAAAAGTTTTATAATGTACAAGTTCATTTCTTGAACTAGCAGTCCAGCAATGTTTAAATACAGCAGGTCCTCACATAACGATGTTTTGGGGAAATGGAGCTTTAAGTGAAAACCTGATGTAAATCTCCTGATGTTCTATTCAGCAAGCAGTACTCATGAAAATTTCATGGTTTACCTATTCGAATTTCCTGATGAGCCATAGTTCTTAAGTTAATGACTAAATAAACACATTGCGAGTTTAACGTCTATAGCATACCCGTGGAAATTCACCAACTGCATCGTTAAATATTTGAGCTTGACAACTTTAACAAAATATTGTAATAATAATTACATGTATGAATTAGGGCCAACTCGGCGTGGTATAAGGGTTAGCGAGCTTGGTAGAACAATTATGACTGACTACTGAGTTTGATCCTCACTGGGTGCCTTATAGCTTCGGTCTTGTGCCACGCTTAGACAAGCACTATAAGTATGAATATATTATTTAAAGAAGTAATAGAGTATAAATAAAACGATTAAAAATTGACAGGATTTTCTTTTTCTTTTTTTGCTGAAGCAGACGTTAAACGCATAAGAGCGTTATCGCTCCCTCTGACTTCTCTTTTCTTTCTTTCTTTCTTTCTATGTATGCTTTACTTTTTTTTTCAATAAAACCAAAATGCGTTTTTCTTTCGTCTGCCCTCGCAGCCAAAACAGATTGGTCCATCATTTATCTGAAGTAATGGCAAGGTTTTAACTTACTGAAAAAACAGAGAAAAACAGAATCATGATATGATTGGAACATGGTATGGAAGTCTACTTTAGCTATTTGGATCTTTTCAAATTATACTTATGAGTGTCGTGTATTTATCTGATTATTGTGCACGTTACGAATTGTCATTTTACGATATTTGCTTCTTTTCCACCATTAACGATATAACGAATCACTGTAGTAGTCCAGTTTCTTTGTTTATTCGAAAACTATGAAACGGACCGCCTTTAACTTATATTTCTTCATTTTATTTATTTACTTTTAGAAAAATTATTTAATTGCAGGCTAGCATGTATCTTGTTTCCAGCTATAGGTAAATAGCAGGACAGACCGAGTTCTATAGCCTTGGATGGCTACTGATCTACCGCAGAAAGAAATGGCAACCTACTGCGGGAAAAAATCTGCCTCGTCAGTCATGTATCGAAAAATAGATGATCACCTAAGTGTGTATCACACATGACACCTAATTGACTGATGTATATTGTTTCCTGGCGTAAATAAAAGCGGCAAAAGTACAATACTGTTCAACGTAAATCTACTGACAAGAAACTGGGGAAAACTCGTCACCAAGTAACTTATTTTGCCTGAATTATTCATTTAATGAATTGTCATACACTGATTTTTCTCGGACCAGTGTCATGCTAGCTTCTAATAACCTCGTCAGTAAGCCCAGTATAGAAATAAGCACACTATGGGAGTACATAATTATGACAGAAAGAACATTAAGCCGAAAAACTGCTAACACCTAATTACACTACAGGTAGTGTAAAAGTCATATACTGAAGTTGAAAAAGCAGACATGTGATTTATTCATGTTTAAGACTCCACCACCAAATTCTCCCAAAGGTCACATAACATAACGTATAAAATTATTCTTTAAGCGAAACGTCTTACCCAGTGGTTGTGAGTTTAATATACACGATCCATTGTCAAATATGCTGCAAAATATCAATTTCATCGGTTATCTAATGTTTCCTTACTAACTCAATAACTAGTCTATCAAATATCCTGTATCTAGATCCTATATCCAGATTTTTGTTTAAATCATTTAGATCTTGTATCTAGATTTTGTCTCCAGATTTTGTGTTTAAGTCTCGTATCTAGTTCTTGTGAGTGAACGTTAGCAGACGAGAATAAAGAAACTGACTCTATCTGAAACGAGAGTTTCTTTTGTTGAATTGACCCACTGTGTCAGATTGGTTTTTATTTGAATGGATGAGTAACTGAGAGGTAGAACAGGCAAAATTTACTCCCATAAGAACATCAATGAAAAACTAAAGAAAAAAATCATCGTTACCATGGCAACCTCACTATTTAGAAATATTCAAATTAAACACTGAGTTTCTAAGTAGCAACGTTACCATAGCAACAATTTCTGTTTAATTTTTCCGTTTTATTTATTATGTTCTTATAGAACGAAAGATTTACATGATAAAAATAATTTTAGGACTAAATAGATTTGCCTAAATAGGAGTAGATAAGTTCGTCTACCGACCGGTTCACATTCTTCGGTCTTCTGAGAGATTTATACCTTATTTCCTGTCTAGCATTGGGTTTCAGGTTCCTTCTAAACTATTTTCCTTCTCTTTGATTACTCTTGCATCTTAGTAGCGTTATCGCCTTGACTGGGGTGCATTGATTAAAAAATAAACAAACAAAAAAGAGCCAAACACAACATCCAACCATATAATATAATATAAATTATTATAATATATTATATATAAAAATTATATATATATATATATATATATATATATATATATATATATATATATATATATTAAATAAACAGACAATGATGTCTATTATGCCTGATCATGAGCCGTTCTAATGTTCGTATGTTTGCTTTAATTTCGGGTAAGATAAAGACAAATATTGTCCAACATGTGGATATATTTTTATTAAGTTGGTCCTGAGCTTTCGGCTCCCATGAGTCATCCTCAGAATGGTTATGCAGACATTTTAACAGAGATATTCACCATCGAAGATAATATTTTGCTATGTTGACATAGAGGACTGCTTTGCGACGATAACGGTCGCGGAATAGCAGACGCAGGTCATAAATTCAAGATGTGATTCTATGACGTCATACCACGCGAGCAGCCGAAATATTAATAACAGAACAATATATCTCGATGCAATGTAATATTTTGTTTCAAACTAGTCACAGCACATTACATTGCATCTAGACATCTGCTGAGGGATCAGTAAATTTTACAGAACAACCCACACAAATGAATTAACATGTGGTTAATTGTCTGTGCCCTGCAATACACACTCTCTCCATCATGGCAACATGTCCTGTACTGGTACAATAAAGTGCCACATGTCAGATGATCGCAAGCTTTTTGGGGGTGGGAGTTTTCCATCTCTAAGCTGCATGTTGGCCGTTGGCTCCTATAAGATGATCATCCGATCGTACTCATTATATCACCCACACATCCATGCTTATAACACCTGGTATTCTCAAGCGCTCTCCCATCTATGTATTAATTAGGCTTGATGTTGCTTAACTTCAGTGATCGGACGAGAACCAATGTTTCATCGTGATATGGCCGTAACCACTCATACACACACACGCGCGCGCGCGCACACACACACATGAGATTGTTTGGTGTATGCAAGGGGACGCACACCATCCATATTTTTTTTCCATCTTAGTCTTGCTTAGGAGAATAACGGTTTCCATTTTCGCACTACAGCTGCACAAAAGCATGAAACTTATAGCAGAAGTGGACTTTGCACGCCTGAAAGGTGATTCTTAATATATATATATCTGTTCACGAAATATATCTTAACGTAAACAATGACAACACATTATGGAATGGATTAAATCCGACAATTATTTAATATATTTTCCGTTTATACGTGATTTTTATAGATATAATTTAAGTTTATTTTAAACAGTATTAAGTACATTTAAATATATAAATGGGAACCATCATCAAATGGAGCAAATCAAGCAAAAATCGTCGAAGATGTATGTTTATAAATAGTAATTCGGACTTTGCTAACCTGACGATTCTTTGTGGCTGAATGGTTAGCCTCGGATCAAATAACGGTTCTCATTGGGGTTATCGGTTCGATTCCTGCTGGAGAAGCACATATTTTCTACTAAATTTCTTGAACATTGAGGCCAATAAATATAATTATTACTGTTTAATTAAAAAAAAAACAGAGCATTTACATAAATAAATTATATCTATAAAAATAACCTATGAACAGAATATATATATATATATATATATATATATAAGTTTCCTTGTTATATATCCCACACGGCTAAAAATATGTGACGCATATTACTCTAAATATATATCCTTAGACTCCATTTGCCTTTTCAATTTCCTTTTCATATATATATATATATATATATATATATATATATACAAGGATTTTCAAACTCATCAGATTAACAACAAAAATCAAAATGAAACTGGCTTAAAACCAATTTTAAGTCAGGCAAAGAAAGTAAAGAAAGGAAAAACGGAAAAAAGAAAGACAGAGTAAAAGGAATAGTGAGAAGACAAGTAAGAGAAAGGATGAGGTGGGAAAAGAGAAAGTAGTAATGTCTAGACATGATAATAGAATGAGGAGATAGATACATGTATAATGACCTGATTTCAATCAGTAAAATAAAAGTGAAAAATTAGGGAAAATACTTTCAGTAATCTTATATTATCAAATTACTATGAATTCAAAATTAAGAGATATAATTATATATTTAAATTAATAAGAAAGAATTCCCGAAATTAATATATTAAGAGATTAAAAAAACATGATTTAATTATTTTCATTTTAGGAAATGTATAATTTAATGTTCTTCATTTTAAATTTAAAAAGGTTCAGGCAATTGCTGCTTCTTCTCTTCGGCTGGTTTCTTTAGTTTAGGCAATGGAATTGGAGCAGGAGCCGGTTTAGACCTCCCTTTGTGGACAACATGTGCCCACCCCGTCTTGGTTAGTAGTGTCATTCATCGGGGCCTGCATTGTAGGAGCTGTCTGCTTCACTGGTACTCTGCGCCTGGATATTGAGATCGGGCGTACTGCCGCCAGGTGTCCAGATGCAACAGAGTGGCTTCCTGCCGCTGACCACCGTTTGAGTCCGGGTGAACCTACACATAACCACGTTGGGTACAGCAGAAGAACCCTTCTTGGTGAGTGGGATAATTTCTGTGTAGTTATCGGTCTTCCATTTTCTGCCTTAACTTTGAGAAGAAAACAGCTAGCTGCTCCTCTTCAAACCATGCGTGTACAACGTAAATGCTAATTTTGTGCACCGGCGGTCTCGTATTCAAGTACAAACTCTATGACCCTTAGCATGTAAGAACTGTGTGTAAGCCTGACACACTCCTCAGTGATGCCTAAGAGTAGGTTCCACGTGGCATAGCTACACCTGTGTATATATTTAATGTCCACAGGGTATATAACACCTCCTCTACTGTTTTTGTGTGTGTGTGTGTGTGTGTAGCGCTAGCGAGCTTTCCACACTTGGTGTCCATAAATACCAGAAATATAGTCTTTGGCTCTGTTGTTTCTAGTGTACCCGAGTAAACAAGGATCACGTCCTCCTTCACATGCTCAATATATTTTTGGGCACCTTTTAAGAGTTCATTTATTGACTTTTGCCTCTACAAATCTTTCTGTAATGGCAGTGTATCGTCGAGAAACAGTTCAGCCGCTCTTAGTTCAGAGACTATCTCTGGCCATTCATCCCTTATCTCTTGGTGTTCATTAATCCCCCACCCACCTTCCTGATATGGATAATTGCTTCTTCGGCTTGTTAAAATCCTCCTGCTGGTTGTGTTCACTGAACCAGAACCAAAAGTTCAGACAGTCCGGAAGAGATACTACACTTTGATCTCAGCCAAAAGGCCGAAAAGTGATTGTATTTTTTTGCCGCACCACGCTGACAGAATGTGACACAAAGTCGTTTTAATGTGGAGTGGTCCAAAAATAGCCCAGTCCATGCCCCCCACCCTGCAACAGTCGGCTGCGCTGGCATCGGTATTACTACTGATCGCCCCTCTTTAGTGCAGCTGTTTCCCGGGACCGGGCTCGCCTTAATAATATTTTTAGTTGCGCTTTGTGCGCAGACTGAGATACACCTAAAAGATGAAATATAGTTTATCCGCCCGAAGCCACATATTACACATTGATCCCAACCAAAATGCCAGGAGGTGATGACAACCGTGATAAAAGCGTCATTTTTCAGACGCACAATATCGAACAGTGGAATCCGAGTAAAGCAGACCACCAGTTACCATAAATAAAATAACGACATCTGCGGAATTATTTTAAAATTATTATTAAGAGAAATGTTCGTAAGTTGGCTATGAAGAAGCAAATAAATAAGGGAAGATAAAAATTCTTTAACGTCTCCTGATAATACCTCATAAATAATGAACTATTCCGTTTTGATCACGTGGAAAGAGGGGAAAAAGACACTATTTGGTTTCAGTGAGAAAATGAAAGGAAAAAAGAAAGAAAGAAAGAAAGAGAAGACAGAAGTTTTTAAGGGTTGTTTTAGTGAAATGTAGAAAGTTGTCAATTTCAAATCTTTTCTTAAAATAACGATCAGCATTGATATTTATGATTATTATTACAATATTTTGTTGTTATTGCAATATTAAGTTGTTAGGTTCAAATATTTAATGATGTGATTTATTGATATATAGCTCGCCATGAGCTTATGCACTCATCAACTTAAGAATTAAGAGTCATCAGAAAATTAAAATAGGAAAACTATGAAATTTTCACGGGTCTTTCTAGTTATTATTATTAATATTATTGATGGAGTAGCGCGCCAGTAGAGTGGCGCTGGGGTACAAATACACAAATCCCAATATACCCCTAATGGCATTCAGCCTGATGGAAAATTTTTCAGAGCCAAATGTAATTGTGACAGAGTTTGATGAAAGCAGCGCATAACGTTGCCCAGTTAGAAATTCCTTCACATCGTGTAGCTTAATCCGCTCAGACGTTCTCCGATTGAGGGTGTTCCCAAGTCTTCACACCTCTACTACTCCCCCTCATCAACAGAGATGCACAGTGCCTTAACCCCTGGGTGGTGGGAGGACACCCAATTAATTAAAGTCTGGCAACTGATAAGTAAATCTGTGGTACAGAATAAGATATTCGGTGTAGCCAATATTAATCTACCAAGAAAAAACATGTAAATGTTAACACCTCAGAAACTATGCATGTAAACATTTATTATTATTATTATTATTATTTGTGCTTTGTATCCTCTAGAGTCTCTCTCTCTTGTTCTTGTAACGGGGTGGGTTGAGCCGGCTCCAATATTGGAGTTTCATGGGAATTTGGAATTCACAAGCGGTCCCCAAACCCGCATGTATAGCACATGAGATTTTATTACAGTGGTGAAGGTTTCGTGCAGGACCATCCACACTTTTTGAAGGGCCGATTACAGAGAACGACCCTCCGCAGGTTTTGAATTCAGAGTTTTCCTTCTCCTAGACCAGTTGCCATCCAAGGCTATAAAACCCAGTCTGTCCTGCTATTTACCCATAGCTGGAGGGAGAAGAAGAGGATTCACACCTTTCCCAATTCACGTAAGTGAATGTAATGGATTTGACTGGAATTCGAACTCGGCTCTTCGATTCCTCAATCCAAGCCGCTATCCATTACTCCACCGTGCCTCCTCTAGAGTCGGGTCCAAACTATGGTCATTAGGAGAATTGTCATTTAATTGATGGCATTTTTCTTAGTATATGGGACGTTCCTAGTAGAGCGATCTTCTGGGCAACTTGTATGTTGTATGTTGATGTTACCTGGGACACTGTTTGTAAAATTGTCCATTCCTTTTCTCACGAGGCCCATAGCACCAATTACTATTGGTACAGTCTCATTCTTCATTCCCCACATCCTGTTAATCTCGATCTCCATGTCCTTGTATTTGGGCAATTTCTTGATAATTTTCATGGAGGTGTTTCTCTCATATGGCACTCAGTTCGGTTATGTGTCATGCGTGATACACGCTTAGGCGATCATGTATCTTTCGATACATGACTGACGAGGCAGACTTTTTCCCACAGTAGGTTCCCATTTCTTTTTGCGGTAGACCAGTTGCCATCCAAGGCTATAGAGCACGATCTGTCCTGTTATTTACCCATAGCCGGTGGGTGGAGAAGAAGAGGATTCATACATTACCTAAAGGTATTAGCACGTAAGTGAATGTAATAGATTCAACTGGAATTTGGATTCCTCAATCCGAGCCGCTATCCATTAATACACTTCCTGAATTTCATGTTTTTTTTTTTTTAATAATATCAGGCCTGTTTTTTATTTCCCTGTCAGTTTGAATTGGCATGTTCCAGAGGATAGTTACAACGTTCTCTTAGGTAACTGCGTCTGGTGGGTGTTCCTACCATCTCTCAGTGGTTTTGATTTTGTGCTTCTTGCATATCTTCCAGTGCACATATGTCGCTACTTTGTTATGTATGTGAGTATATTCATTTTTTGCTAGTTCCAGATATCCTGAGATAATATGGCCGACACTTTCATCATATTTTGTAAATCCCAGTAAAATATCATTTCAT